CCGTAACTGAGTCGAAAGCCGGTAACAACTTCGTCGAGCACGAAGAGTATGTCGTACTCATCGCAGATCTTGCGAATACCCTGCAAAAACTCTGGCTCAGCGGGAATAATGCGTTGCACCGGTTCGGCAAAAATAGCTGCGATGTCATGACCGTGTTCGCCGACAATTTTGCGCAGTGTAGCCAGATCGTTATACGGGCAAACCAGCATGGTCGACACCGTGGCTTCGGGCTGTCCGCAGGAATCAGCTACACCTGCGGATAACTACCCGTTTGCTTTGGGAAAGTTGAGACATGGCATAATCATGATTGCCGTGATTAATCGCCTTCGAATTTAAAATTTTGTTTCGCCCGTTAAAGGCGCGTGCGAGTCGCATAGCATAAGCGTGTTCGCGTTGGCTGACCAAGGTCCTGCACAGTAGGGCGCGAGTTTTTCCTCCGCAGGAAGTCTTTGACCAGACGCTCGGCGAGATGTCACTGCGACAGTCGTTAGCGATGCCAAACATATGGGCACCGCGATCGAGTTGTGCCTTCGAGGCGTCGACTACCGCCGGGTGTGAATGGCCGAGTATCAGTGCGCCGGCACCGCCGACATAGTCAATATATTCGTTGTTATCGACATCCCACAGGCGCGAGCCTTTGCCGTGCGAATAAATCAGGCGGATTTCTTCGGCGAGTGAATAACTTCCAAGACCGGCACCGGGTAAAACGCGGTCGGCGATTCCGAATAGGTTCTGCTGTTTACTGCTTTCGGACTGGGTTGCGGGCGATGGCATATTAGTTTTCCAGATTAATCAACGGCTGCTCTAAGCCATTGGTGTAATTTGTAAATCGGCAATTCATTGTTGATGCCGCCTTCGGGATTAAGTACCAGGGGGCCGGGTTTATATCCACGGGAATTCAAGCCGCGTTGGACTTCTTTGACGATATCGAGGTCTTCCTGAAATGTGGTTTCACGGTCGTTGTCGATGACGGTTTGCAGAGTGTCGTCGACCTCGCCATCGTTAGAGTAAAAACTATCGGAAACGCCGAACATCGTCAACTGCAGCGGTCGCAGGCAAAGCTGTTCACCCATACCGCCAGGATAAAACGGAATCGAATGATGCGGCCAGAGAAGAAGCTACCGCTGAATCGGCTGCCACTAACATCGTACAGGCGTGCTTCCACTATGCGAAGCATTCAGATGATGTGCACGCACCTGAAGGTCACCTTAGGGTCTATCGAATAAGATTTGCGATCGAGGAGCTTTGGCAAAGGCGGGTGAGCAATGGACTACAGTGGTAGCATTCGTTATAGTTTTCCACCGCCGTGTGAACAGTTACAGCCTCATCGGCGAGCGAGTGTGATGTAAGCGTATTTTCTTTCTTCGACATCAGGGCAAAGGGATTAATATTCTTCGCGGATGGCGGTGGAAGTTCATCCGTGGTCTATACAATCCGGGTCGAGATGATAAAGACAAAGCCGAGTGGAAATTTTCCGGGATAAGCGGATTATCGGACAGGCACATAGTGCGAATCGGCCGGGCACATTTCGCGGTATGCGTGCAGCCTTGAGGCTTTCCATCGAGGTCGTATGACGCAGGCGTGATAGAGGCAGCGAGCAGCTTTTATTGCCAGTGCCTGTCGGTGTTGAGTTATGTGGTCCACGATGTTGGCAGACATTGTAAAACGCTTTGATGCCACCTTCGCGTGCGTGCGTGATAACGATATCCTGGTCATGAATGCTCATGGTCAGATAGTCACCTGGCGTGTTCAGTTGGCTCGAATGACAGGCTAGCAACCAGCTTTTGTAAAAAACTTCTTCGACACTGCGTTTAAACAGGGTTTCGTCGATAAAATAACGGGCATCCAGGCCTGATTGTGGTTCAGGATTCATCATAAATATTAGCCTGCCAACGTGCAGAGTGAAAAGCTTCGATGGCGTCGCTTGC